GAACCCGCTGAAGGAGCAGAACGTAGTACGGCCGTGGCCGCGCAGCGCCTCCAGAACCAGCAGTGACAGAACTAGCACCCCCAGTGGCAGCTCGAACTTCAGCAGTACCACCAGCTCCAGCTGCACCTCCAGCAGCACCAGAAGCACCAACTCCAGCACCCACAGGAGCACCGACTCCAGCAGCACCTCCAGCTCCAGCACCTCCAGCAGCTCCAGCTCCAGCAGCACCACCCGAAGCTCCAGTAGCGCCAGCAGCTCTAGCTCCAGTACCTGCAGCAGCACCTGCCCCAGCAGCACTGCCAGCTCCAGCACCTCCAGCAGCTCCAGCTCTAGCAGCACCACCACGCCAAGCAGCTCCAGTACCTCCAGTACGAGCACCTCCGCGACCCGCGGCCCCAGAACCCCCAGCAGCTACAGCAGTAGTAGGACCTCCAGCAGCAGCAGGGCCTCCAGCGCCCGGATAACCACCAGCTCCAGCAGCACAGCTCCACCGACGAGCAAACCAGTCGCGCAGCTGCTGTGGAGAGAGTGGCTCCCGCCGAGACGAAGCACCCAAAGGACCTCCAGGCTCAGCACCGCCAGACTCCACTGGAGCAGGCCTAGCACCCTCAGGCTTCGCACCCCCAGACTCAAGAACCCCAGGCTCAGCACCCCCGACCCAGCACCCCAAGGCTCAGCACCCCCAGACTCAGCGCAGCCAGGCTCAGCACCCCCAACTCAGCACCCCCAGGCTCAGCACCCCTAGACTCACCACCCCCAGGCTCCGCACGCTCATGCTCAGCACCCCGAGGCTTCGCACGCATAGGCTCAGCACCCCCAGACCCAGCACCCCCAGACCCAGCACCCACAGGCTCAGTACCCCTAGCAACACCAGAGTCAACGGCTACCTCCACAGGCTCGACTCCGTCTACCAGGGACACATCTGGGGGGGCAAGACCCTGAGGGGGTAGGGGGTCTACCGGGGGAGGACCTGGCACGAGGAAGAGCGACGGGGTGGGGAGGGGGGCAGTGCGGTAGGGGAAGAGACGGTAGTAAGGAACCGACTCGTCAAACATGGCGACCTGAGAGGACAGAACACTGCGCGAGGTGGGGTGGTAAAACTGCCAACCAGGCGCGTTAGGGGGGAAGCCAAGGAAGACGCAGGGAACAACACAAGAGGACAGCTTGTCCGCAGTCAAGTCGTGGATGAAAGCTCGAGATCCCCAGACACGGAACGCAGACGCATCGCCCACCTTCCCCGTCCACCGCAAAGTAGGTGTGGTCTCCGGCATGGAGACCCGGGGCTGGAGGTTGAGCTGATGCGCAGCGTATTGAACCGCGAACGGCCACAGAAAATGGGGAGCAGCCGCATGGATCATGGAAGTACGAGCGACATCTATGACCATGCCATTGCGGCGTTCAGCAATCCCATTTTGCTGCAGAGAGGCCGGAAGCGTGAACGTCTGGCGGATGCCCTCCGCATGACAGAAGGCTCGCAGAAGGTCGGAGGAAAACTCTCCGCCTCTGTCGGAGTGCAGACGCAGAACAGGAAGGTCCGAGCCGAAACTCTCGCTGAGCTGACGACGGGCAGCGCGGATCCAGTCGATCGGCACCTCAGTGACCTCACCCTTGCGGCGCAAGGGGAAGACTGTGGTGTAACGCGAGCAGTCGTCAACGACCAGCCGAAAGTAGCGCTCGTGACCCTGGCCACGGACGCAGGCTGGGCCCCATACGTCCATGTGAAGCGTCTGCAGGGGAGACTCCATCGGAGGGAACTCGGAGGAGTGAGGAGCGGCGCGCTGCCGCCCCTCGACGCAAGGAACGCAGGTAGGGGCAGGCCCCGGGGGAAGGGGAGGGAGAGACCGGGGAAGACCTATGACAAGGACACGGGAGGCCATGCCTCGGAGATGAGGCAGGGAGGGGTGACCAAGGCGGTGGTGCCAGAGGAGAGTCTGGTTAGACAGGAGGCGACATGAGCAGGGGGCAGACTCAGGACCTGAACGGGACGCTGCAGCAAATACCTGACCCGACGCAGCTACCTGACCAGACTCAGCAACCGGAGGAGACACGGTAGTCTGAGTGTACAAACTCTACCCAGGCTGACGGGAGAACGTGGCCAGGTGCCGCCCGTCCGAGTACACGAACAGTGGGTCACCCGCTGACCTCCAGGAGTGAACTGGTCAACCCACGCATCCTGAAGGTCAGCCCCACTCACCAAGTTCATGGGGAACGAGGGGAGGTGGAGGCCAGACAGAGAGCCAGACCGCCGGACACGGCAAAACCGTGGAGGAGTGTGCAAGGACCGGACCCCCAGAGGGGTCAGTAAGAGAGACTGCCACTGGCCGACTGAGCGGCGAGAGTGTGGTGCAGTCGCGAAAGAAGGAGCGGGAAGCACCCGAGTCAAGGGTGAAAGTGTGCAAGGCCGCAGCAGGCGCAGTACCAAAGAGAGCAGACGCACCAGCACCTGGAGCAGTGGACTCACTAGCGCCTAGAGCAGCAGCCTCACCGGCACCTGGAGCAGGAGACGCACCAGAACCTAGAGCACCAGCCTCACCAGCACCTAGAGCAGCAGACTCTATGCCTGGGTCAGGCGGCACACGCAGGTAAAGGCACCCTCAGCACTAGTAGGGAATGCATACATGGCAGTGAGGATAGCATCATAGTCAAGAGCAAAGATATCTACCCTCTGCCTAAGCAGCTCGAGCCAGGAGGGGAGCTCAGCATCGTCGCCAAACTCTGTATGACAGGCGTCGCTCAGACTGGCGAAGCAGCGGGACTCGTGTGACCAACCGTCCCGCAAGGCTGACCAGCCCGAGCACCAGTGCGAATGACGTACGGGCAGCGAGCAGTACTCCGTGACCCTCTACTCTGAGCGTACCACTCACGAAGCTGCTGGGGTGAAAGGACCGCGCGCGGACGCTGCTAGAGCTGCACCTGGTCACTACAAGAAGCTCCCGAACGACCCGCCTCAGGGCGACTCCCACCACAGCCACCCCTACAACCCCAACTAGCGTACCACTCACAAAGCTGCTGGGGCGTGAGGGACTCACGAGGACGTCGCTGGAGCTACATCTGGCCACCGCAGGGAGCAGCAGTAGCAGTAGTAGCCACAGTAGCAGCAGTAACAGTAGTAGCAGCAGTAGCAGCAGTAGCAGCAGTAACACCAGTAGCAGCAGTAGCAGCAGTAGCAGCGCGGCCACCCCTACAACCCCAAATAGCGTACCACTCACAAACCTGCTGGGGCATGAGGGACTCACGCGGACGTCGCTGGAGCTGCATCTTGCCACCGCCAGGAGCAGCAGCAGCAGTAGTAGCAGTAGTAGTAGTAGTAGTAGTAGTAGTAGTAGTAGTAGTAGTAGTAGTAGTAGTAGTAGTAGTAGTAGTAGTAGTAGTAGTAGTAGTAGTAGTAGTAGTAGTAGTAGTAGTAGCAGTAGCAGCAGGAGTAGCAGCAAAAACAGTAGTAGCAGCACGGGCAGGGCAGTGTGGCTCAGTAGAGCAGGGCTGCACAGCCCGGCAGCACGACACGGCTCGGCTGGGCAGCTCGGCGCCGCAAGGCGGCTCGGCTCAGCTGGGCGGCGCGGCCCGGCTGGCAGGTAGGCGCGGCAGGCAGGCAGGCACGCCAGCGCGGCAGCGCGCTAGTAAGGCAGGCGCGCGGAAGCGCGGGTAGGGCAAGTGCTCACCAGGGGCGGGAAGGGCAGTCGCTCGCCGGGCGAGCAGGGTAGGCGTACGACGGCGGCGTCGGCAGGGCCGGGACAGCTGGAAAGCGGGGCTGCGACAGCGGCAGGGGGCTCCGCGGTAGCTGCTGTAGGGCGGGGCCGCGACTGCTGCAAGCGGCTCCGCGGCAGCTGCAGCAGGGCGGAGCCGCGACGGCGGCAGGGGGCTCCGCGGCAGCCGCTGCAGGGCGGTGTTACGAAACGAACTTAGTCTAGAAACCGGAGTTTACTAAGGGCCTAGGCTTAGTAGCCTAGGCCAAGCGGGTGTCGAGGTGGTTGTACCAAGGAGAATCGAGAATGGAATGTTTCACTATAGGTTTGCAAGAACATATAGCAAAAGAACATAGAGAAGGTGCACCACCAATGTAAGAAGGCATAACTACACTAAAGCTAATGCTACATGCAGTTATAAATATACATATAGAATATGTATCGCGACACACCCCCTTAACTGCCTGCAGCACATAACTTGAGCAAGACACACCACCGGATCCTGGGCAAGAGGTAGGAGAAGCAGAGGAAATAGCAACACAGATCAACCATGAAAAATGCAACAACGGCAGGAGCAGGACCCGAGAGGTGGGCATGAGAGCAAGCACCGTGGCTGCAACGAGCAGCTGGACAGCGCGGCTCAGCACCTCCGGGGGCGTGCCTACTACAGGCAGCAGGTGCAGTGATGGCAGATAGGGCCACAGTGACCTCAGCCACGGCAAATGCAGCAGTGAGAGGTGCAGGACCCGGCAGGTGGGCGTGAGAGCAGGCGCTGTGGCTACAACGAGCAGCTGGAGAGCACCGCTCAGCACCTCCGGGGGCGTGCCTGCTACAGGCAACGGCTGCAAATGCCCGACTTACTTCTTCCACCCCCTTACCCGCCCACTCAACCCCTCTGGTGCTGGCGGCTGGCGCTTGTGCTGGTTCCTGGTGCTGGCGGCTGGCGCTGGTGCTGGTTCCTGGTGCTGGTGCTGGTTCCTGGTGCTGGCGGGGTTCTCTCCAGGCGAGGTTCTCTGCTGGCGGGGTTCTCTGCTGGCGAGGTTCTCTGCTGGCGGGGTTCTCTGCTGGCGGGGTTCTCTGCTGGCGGGGTTCTCTGCTGGTAGGGTTCTCTGCTGGCGGGGTTCTCTGCTGGCGGGGTTCTCTGCTGGCGGGGTTCTTTGCTGGCGGGGTTCTCTGCTGGCGGGGTTCTCTGCTGGCAGGGTCTGGTGCTGGCGGCTGGCTCTGGAGCTGGTGCTGGTGCTGGCGGCTGGCCCTGGAGCTGGAGCTGGTGCTGGTGCCTGGTGTCTGGTGCCGGGGCCTGGTGCTGGCGTGACGGCGCTAGTTCCGGTGCTGGCTCCTGGTGTTGGCGAGGTTCTCTGCTGGCGAGGTTCTCTGCTGGCGGGGTTCTCTGCTGGCGGGGTCTCTGCTGGCGGTGTAGCTGCTGGCGGGGTCTCTGCTGGCGGTGGCGCTGGCGTTGTAGCTGCTGGCGGTCCCGCCATGCCCTTCCTCCGCTTCCCTCTCCCCCACAGCGTTCAGCCGCCACTCCCTGCCCTTCTTCCCACACCCCCTCCACAGCGACCGCTGCTGCACACGCGAACAACCACGACGAAGGGGGGTAACAGGCAGGGGGCGGGGGTAAGGGGGTGGGGGTAATGCGACGGGCAGAACGACGGCGGGATAAGGAGCGGTTGGGGCGACGGGAAGCAGGGCGACGGGCGACGGTGTGCGGACGGGTGGCGGGAATCTGGCGACGGGCGACACGGATCTGGTGACGGACGGCAGCGCGACGGGACGGGCGACGGGCTGCAGCAGCGGAAATTTCGTGGGTGGCGGGCTGCAGTAGCGGGTAGTGCACGGGGTCGACGGGGGCGAGAGCGACGGCGTGAAACAGCGGGTCGATGAGCGCCGTCACTCCCGCCGTGACCGTTGCGTCTATCATGACTGCCGTGACGGATTTTGCTACAGGCGAGCGACGGGGAGGGACGGACGAAGCCGCAATTTGCTGCTTGATGAGACGCGCCATCACGATAACTAACGGTGGGCCCTTAAAAAAAAAAGGCCGGGAACGACCTAGCTCAATACAATGTTACGAAACGAACTTAGTCTAGGAACCGGAGTTAACTAAGGGCCTAGGCTTAGTAGCCTAGGCCAAGCGGGCGTCGAGGTGGTTGTAACAAGGAGAATCGAGAATGGAATGTTTCACTATAGGTTTGCAAGAACATATAGTAAAAGAACATAGAGAAGGTGCACCACCAATGTAAGAAGGCATAACTACACTAAAGCTAATGCTACATGCAGTTATAAACATACATATAGAACATGTATCGCGGCAGGCGGGGCCGCGACTGCTGCCGGCGGCTCCGCGGCAGCTGCTGTAGGGTGGGGCCGCGACGGCGATAGGGGGCTCCGAGGCAGCTGCTGCTGGGGGCTCTACGGCAGCTGCTGTAGGGGGCGCCGCAACGAGCAGGGGCGACGCCCCGGGGGCGCCGCGACGAGCAAGGACGGCGCCCAGGGGGCGCCGCGACGAGCAGGGGCGACGTCTCGGGGGCGCCGTGACGAGCAGGGAAGGCGCCCCAGGGGCACCGCGACGAGCAGGGAAGGCACCCCGGGGGCGCCGCGACGAGCAGGAAAGGCGCCCAGGGGGCGCCGCGACGAGCAGGAAAGGCGCCCAGGGGGCGCCGCGACGAGCAGGGGCGACGCCCCGGGGGCGCCGCGACGAGCAGGATGAGCGCCCGGGGGGCGCCGCGACGAGCAGGGGCGACGCCCCGGGGGCGTCCCGATGAGCAGGGACGGCGCCCAGGGGGCGCTGCGATGAGTAGGGGCGACGCCCCGGGGGCGCCGCGACGAGCAGGGACGGCGCCCAGGGGGCGCCGCGACGAGCAGGGGGGGGGGACGCCGCGCGGGTCCCGCAGGGGCTTCGCGACGAGCAGGGTTTAGGGCGGCGCGCGGGCTGCAGAGGCAGCTCCCATGGGCTGCAGAGGCAGGCACGGCTGCAAGGGCAGCGCCTACTGGCTGCAGGGGCAGGCACGGCTGATCGGGAGGGCGGCGCGCGGGCTGCAGAGGCAGGCACGGCTGCAGGGGCAGGCACGACTACAGGGGCAGGCACGGCTGCAGGGGCAGCACGGTCGCAGGGGCAGCACGCAGGCTGCAAGGGCACCGCGGCTGTAGGGGCAGCTTAAAAAAAAAAATCAGTTAGGGCAGGGCGGAACGTTCGGTGGGCCCTAGGAACGATTATGCTCTAATACCATGTGAGAATAAGAACGAGGAATGAATGAACTAGCAAGCAGGTGGGTACAAGTATGAAAACCTAAAAGAGTTGTACCCGATATTGTCTACCCCACTGCAGCCTACAATATAGTTCTGACAGCTTCTCACTCCGCGGCTGGCAGTCGCTTCTCGCTCCGGTCGCTAGATTTCGACCCGGGTCGCACTTAGCTCCTAGCCTCTAGCCCCTAGCCCGGTTTCCTCCTCCACTGGCGCTCCTACGACTCCTAGGTTCACCTCCGCCGTTCCTACCCTAGCGTACAATATGGACTCCTCCCGCCGCCTTCGTTTCGATGCGGAGGGGCGACCGATCGAGTTCAATACCTGGCAGCGCCAGGCCACGCGCTACCTCACCAGTCAGCGTCAGGACGGCGCCACCCTGTGGGCCCATGTGTCTGGTGCCCTCAAGGCGCCCCTGTCTCCCGACCCCCTCCCGACCGGCCTAGAGCCGACTCCTGCAGCGCAGGCGAACTACGACCGTCGTGTCTTGGCGAGGGACGTGTGGGACTCTCGCGACGCTGCCGCCGCTCTTGCGCTGACGGAGCTCCTCCCCCCGACTGAGGCCGCCCACTTTGACCGGGTGGAGACAGCTCAGGGGGTTTGGGCTGCTGTTGTTGCACGCTAATCCACCCCTTCCTCTGCCTCCCTCAGTCACCTCCTCATGCCGTTCGTGTTTCCCGACCTCGGCTTGTTTGTGACTGTGTCCGACCTAGTGACTCACCTCCGCTCACTTGATGCCGGTTTCCGAGCGGCCTGTACCAATGCCCAGCTTCTTGCTGCTCCTCCCCTTATGTGGCTCACTATGCACTGGTTAGTCACCCGCCTCCCTGACCGCCTTGCCACTGCTCGCGACGCGCTTCTCCAGAAGCACCCCACTGAGCTCACTATCGATCTCCTTGAGACCGCTCTCAGGACGATCAAGAGTAGCCTCCTCACCGTTGCCTCCGCCACTGACGCGGTGGCCCCCCGTCTCTTTGCGGGGTGTACCGCCCCTCAGCTTCCCACTTTCACCGCTACGCGTGCTTCTACTGTTGTGTCGGTTTCTGGGGACAATGCTGCCATTTCTGCCGCAGACTGGCAGAAACGGGGCAAGAGTGGCAAGAAGGGCGGGAAGTGGGGAGGTGGAGGCGGTGGAGGCGGCGGTGGAGGCGGCGGTTGAGGCGGCGGTGGAGGTGGGAGCGGCGGTGGTAGCGGCGGCGGCGGTGGAGTGCACTAGGCGGAGGGGGCCTTGGAGGAGTTGCAGGATAGACAGGCCCGCCCACTGGCGGTGGCCTGACCGGTGGGGGTGTTGGACCCCAGCAGCAGCAGTCGCAGCAGCACCACCCACAGCAGGGACAGCAGCAGCAGCAGGGACCGCAGCAGCAGCAGGCACCGCAGCAGTTCCAGCAGTGGGGGCCCCCACTGCAGTGGGGTCCGCAGCAGCACTGGGGTCCCCCGCCGCAGTGGTGTCCAGGAGGACCAAGGAGCACCGCCCGCAGCGGCAGCACTTCCAGTTGGGCCCCTTGCCCCCCTCACCGTGACACTGGCCCTTGCACCCACTAGTGCCTCACCGGACCTGGCAGCCCCTGTCTCTGCGGTCGTGACGACCACTTTGCCGCGCAGTGCTTCCGCCGCCTCGACGACCTCTATCGTGCTCGCTGGGGCCCTACGGCGACCAGGCCTCGCTGGGCTCACCTGTTAGCCCGTAAGATTGATGCGTTTGATATGTCCATGGACGATGCTCGTCAGCATGCTTTGTATGCTGATGTTGACTATAGTGCTGATGGATCTGTGTGCTCGCGTGTTCGTAGATTATCTTGCTTGCCTCCTGCTAGTGTAGACTTGTGCCTTTCTAGTCTAGGTGCTTGTGTTGCTGCTCTAGGTGCTTGTGTAGCCACTAAGACAGGTGACCCTCCGGCTGAGGCGTCCCTGTCCTTCATGCTGGACTCTGGTGCGTCTCAGTGCTTCTTCTGCGACCACACGACCCCCATGCCTCTCCTCACTCCTGTTTCGGTGGCTCTGGCTAATCCTACCTCAGGACCAGCCATTGCGCGTAGCTCCACTACCCTCTCGTGTCCTGTGTTCCCCTCTGGTGTCTTGCACGGCCTCCACATTCCCTCGTTCAATCGGAACTTGGTGGGTGATGGTTACCTCTAGGACAAGGGGATCACGTTTACCTTTGTGGGGGGTGGGAGGACTGCGGTCTGTAAAGACGCTGCCACAGGTGCTATTCTGGCCACGTTCACCAGGGAGCCCCGCTCCGGTCTCTACGTTCTCCACACCGAGCGCTCCCCGGTTGCGTCCCCTCCAGTCCAGGTGTCTAGTCCGGTCGCTGTGTCTAGCTAGGTGGTCGTGTCTTGTCCAGTTGCAGTGTCTAGTCAGGTCGCGATGTCTAGCCTAGTCGCTGCGTCCTGCTCCTGTCGGTCCCTCACCCACTGGACGGTCTTGTGGCACCACCGCCTTGGCCACCCGTCGCTCCCCCGCCTCCGCAGGATGACCACTCACGGGCTTGTCACCGGTCTCCCATGCACCTTTCCGTCGCTCCCCACCTCCCCTGCTCCCCCTTGCACTCCTTGCGTCGCCGGTCGCTTACGAGCCACTCCCCACTCCTCCTCCCTTCGTCCGGCCACTGCTCCCTTCGAGACCCTCCACTTGGACGTCTGGGGCCCTGCCCCGATGCAGGGTTTTGGGAGGGAGCGTTACTTTCTGGTGGTCGTCGACGACTTCTCCAGGTACACCACAGTGTTCCCTCTCGCAAAGAAGTCCGAGGTGACTCCTACGCTGATCCGGTGGCTTCTGGCCACTGAGGGCACTCGTGGTCGTCGTGTCAGTTGTCTACACTCTGACCATGGGGGCGAGTTTCGCTCTGGCGTTCTTGCCGGATTCTGCGGCGAACAGGGCATCGTACAGTCCTGGACGCTTCCGGAGTCCCCATAGCAGAATGGGGTTGCTGAGCGCCGCATTGGCTTGGTCATGGATATTGCTCGCACGTCTATGATCCATGCCCGTGCGCCCCATTTTCTGTGGCCCTACGCGGTTTGCTACGCCGCACACTAGCCGAACCTCCAGCCGCGCGTCTCACGGCCCGAAGCTTCACCGACCAGTCTTTGGACCGGGTCCCCTGGTGTTGGGTCAGTCTTTCGTGTCTGGGGCTGCCTTGCGCTTGTTCGCGACACCTCCGCTGACAAGCTCTCGGCACGCACCGTCCCCTGTGTCTTCCTTGGTTTCCCGGTGGACTCTGCTTACTGGTCCTTTTACCACCCTCCCCTCCACCATTTCCTAGACTCCCGTGACGTCCGGTTTGACGAGTCTATGTCCTACTACACCCGATACCCCTGTCGAGGTCTCTCGGTACCCCCTCCCTCCCTCTTCCTTGCACCCTCTCCTCCTCCTGCTCCCGCTCCTCCGGTACCCCCGCCCCCCCCTGGTCCTGCTCCGTCTGGTGTGTCCCACGCTACCCCTCTACCCTCGGTCGCGCGTCAGGTAGCGTCTCCCTCCCCGCAGTCCTCCTCACAGTCCCCTCAGCAGCCTTCGGCACTTCCGCGACAGGTTACTCTGGACTCAGTTGGTGCTGGAGCTGGAGGTGCTGGCGCAGGTGGTGCTAGCTCTGGGGGTGCTGGAGCTGGAGGTACTGGCACTAGAGGTGCTAGTTCTGGGGGTGCTGGAGTTGGAGACGCGGGCACTAGAGGTGCTCGT